AAAAAAAGAAGATGGGATTCAAGGCCCTCCAACTGTTTAGCATTTATTTGCATACGAGAAGGAGATTGCGCGCCCGCTTGTTTGCTCTTTTCTGGCTGAGTGTGTAAATATTTAAAGGCTTTTATTGCTTTTCTCCTGGCGGGGCCAGAATTTTCATTCATATTCGTGAATGGGATATGTAGACCCTGCTCAAATTATGGGCTCTTCAACGTTTTAAAGGCCTTTTAAAGCCCGTCCCCAAACAGGGGAATTGTTCAATCGAAACGACAATTAATTGGCTAAAATAAATGTATATTCACGACAAAAGGTCTCCGAGGTCTTCTGAAACAGTAAAACGAAGAAATAAATAAAAGGACAGCAAAGCGAGCGTCAAATGCACATGAAATGCACAAGTCAAAAGCCATTTTGCTGTTCCATAAAAATGAAAATACAAATTTATTTGATTGCATTTTTATACACATCGCTTCGTCTCCATATTCATACCTACAGCTGTGTTCAACATAATAAAAATATTAATTTATAATATTGAAATGCCCATAAAAAAAGGGAAGTAAGTGTAGTACGTTGTAATGTTTATAAATTGCTTGAAATGTACATATTTATTTATTAATTTTCTTAGATGTTATTGGTATGTATATTTTTATTTTATAAACTATTTCATATCGGAGTTATTAAAAATTTTATTTTTATATTATATACTTATTATCATATTGAACACAGGTGTATACAGATATCTGGCTATTGGTATAAATAAATACTGGGGACAAACGTTTTGTTTTCTCGGTTTTGTTCTAGCGTTTGCATTGACTGTCGCCTGCAATTGTTTGGCTATGATTTAACTAATGAAAAAAGGAGGTCGTTCGGACGGGGTTTTAATATTTTGCAGGCCTCCGACGTTCGTTGGGCCGGCAGAAAGCATTTAATTCGTATTCGTTTATGAAGTCTGTATTGTAATAATTAACAGGCGACCTCAAGCGAGCTGCAGACTTTGGTTTCGGTTTACGGTTTGATGTGTGAATTGTGCAAACATTTTCCAAACAATTATGCACAGATTTCCTCGCTCATTTTCAAGGTTCACACCCGTATGCAACTGTATTTTCAACTAAATTTAGTCAACACCAGCGGCCAGCGAACCAACAACAATGGCAATAACAATTAAAAATGCGCTGGCATTGCATTTTATTCAGTTTAACAGTTGAGCGCTTCCAGGCAAAAGCAAACACGGCCAAAAATGAAAAATAGATGGTAAAATAAAACTGTGATCCAATTTCAAGCCAGGGCTTTTAGATTCCAGCTGAGCTTAGTTGCTTAGTCAACTTTGCTGGGTGAGTAATCGCAAACAGAATTCCGCTTTACTTGCTTCACTTCCACTTTTTTTTTTTTTTTTTTTTTTTGCCTTTTTGGGCAAAACCACCAACCAAAAGGCCAGACTGTAAGCGGCTTTAAGCAGGGAGAAGCGTTCAAGTGTCACTCGAAAGAGTCATTAACCCGGAATAATCTGTCGTCACTGACTTAAGGAGTCGCCTGATGGAGTGATGATGAACGGACGGATGGTATACTTTTCAATTAAGCCAGGGACAAACGGAAATTAATTAAAGTGTTGCAAGCCCGTCCATAAAGAGTGCTCTCAATGTCAGCGATCTGTAAACTCTTGAAAATCATGTCATCACATTTCCCGTCTCCGCTTAAAAAACAAAATTCCGCTTGCCAAATGAAATCACAGCCCATCGTTTGGCACTTCATATTCCGTATGCCCCTAGGAATCCTTCGTCCAAAAAAAAAAAAAACCGGAGAAATATCCGAAAAAACAAGCTTTGAAATGAAATGCAAATGGGGAGCCCTAAAAAACCGTTGCAATGTCGGGAATGAAAAGCGGCTACATATGCCTGTTTATATGCAAATATTACTTGTACATATGTGCGTAAACATTTGGCAATTACTCGGCACCGGAGCGGTGTCTTTGTTTCTTTTATTTTTTATGGCCTGGAGGCCGCTGTTTGTTCTATTTGCTGATATACAAATAAGTATGCAAAAATACGTGGCTCCGAATTGCGGCGACCTTTCGTCTCGTTTTGCTTCTGGGGAATTTCAATTTAAATTCTGATTAAATTTCTGTGCGCCTCAATGCAGAAAGTCGTCAGAGTTATAGGTATATATTTTTTTCAAATATGTACGTATTTTATTGATTGTTGTACTGGAGTATAAGAGTTCCGTAGATTATTGCTCACTTTTCCCTCTGACACTGGCTCTCTAAGCCGGCATTTGTTATGCAAATTTATTTTCGATTACTTGTTACCAAAGATTTGCCTGAGATTATGCAAATGTGTCAAAAGGAAGGTCCTTTATATCGGCCCCATAGATCTACATTATTGCTGCTTTACAAGTGGCTTATTACTGTTAGTGTTTGTTGGCTGTCAGGAAGTCGGATAAACGTTGCAAATATGAAGAGAAAAGAAACTTTGCATATTCTCATGAACGTTTTTGGCGGCATAAAAAAGCGATGAGTTGGAAAATCTACTTTCGCCGTTGCTTACTGTTTATGTTTATCGGGGAATCCATTGGATTCCCATCGAACTCAATTTTATTCGGCCATTTTCCCAACATGTTTCATAACTTTGTTAAGGGCATTTGCATAATTGATTTTACTTCCTAACTGAAATGCTATTTACAATAATTAAACTCGACTGATTTGTGGGCTTGGAAATGTGCAAATTGATTTTATTGATATTTATTAATGGGCCAAGACAGTGAAGAAGTAGGGCAACGAAAATTATTTTGGCCTACCTTACTTGACAAAGGAAATATATTTTTCGATTTCGCTAAGTTCAGCCTCTCATAAAAAACCCTTATTAAATTTCCAAAAACATTAAAACCGTTTTATTTAATTATTATATTTTAATGAAATGTACAACACACACTCCACAATTTAATTTAAAGGTGGATCCCTTATTTTTTTAAGCGTATTCTTTGGCCCCCACGCACTGCTCATTTATTATGATGTTTTTTAGGGTCTGACACTTTTTGCAGAAAAAATCAAACAAATAAATTAAATTTGCTGCGGACTTTTGGCTGTCGTTTTTTAATTTTTTGCTGGTTTTATAAAGTACAACTTTGATTGCATTCGTGGCTCCATGTCTCTTGCCGGAAAATCGTGCAAAAAATGTCATATAAATGAAAAGGAAAATACATTTATTTGTATTTGGATGAATATTTTTATTGGCGGTTACCTTTGGCTCGCTGTGGTCGTTTAATTGAATAATTATATACACAGATAGATGGGAATTATTTTTTGCTACTCGGCTTATATCGATTCGCATAGCTTGTAAATCAATTGCCATTACATGTGCATCCGCTGGATGGTATGCAAATGTAACAAATGGCCAAAACCCGATACGCCTTGACAAACTCAATAAAAGTTCGCTTCCCTCAGTAAAGTGTTTTCAGAGCCTGGCAAAAAGGACAAAATAAAAAATCCAATATATAAATAAATAATTGTGCATCAGCTTGGCGTTAATTGCACTTTAAAAAGCCCCAACAAGTGCCGAAATGGTAAATGCAATTTATTGCCGTCGGCAATTGGCAGCTAACGAGTGCTTCAAATTGAACACGGATGCACTAATTAGAAAATTTGGCCAAAACAATTAGCAATTTAAGCGGAATTATTTCAATTTACCTAAAAAAAGCAACCGAAACCTATGGAAAAGTTTTATTTAATTTCCCCCAATAGAATTGGCAGCTGATGAATACGAATTTCATCACTCATGCTCGCAACAAAGTCATTGGCTAGTCATTATTTAATGGTATTTATGGAGTTGTTATGGACAAAGTTGATTTTATAAAATCGAAAAACGAATACTTTTCACTCATTCTGACTTGCAAGATCTTAAGCAACTTGTGCGCGGATTTACATATTTCTCATCGGCTTTGTTGTTTCCTTTCAGAAATAAAAAGAATGCCATAATCTGTAAGGCTTTATTAAGTGAGTCACTGACTTTCAGTTTTGTGCAACTCATGTGAAATAATTAATTTAAGCAGACACAAGAGTACACGCCTTGACCAACATTAATTGCATACTTTTTATTAGTTAAGCCATCATACATAAGCAATTCAGGACTTATTTTTTAAGGGGCTTCTCTTTAAATTTAATGCTGAGCTTTGTGGGTGCATGGCGACCTTTCTGCTCTGCTGTTTTTTTTAATTTTTTGCTGCTGAGCAGGTCAAAGTGAACTAACAAGTTGAGTTTTGCGGTTTTAATTGTGCCAAGTAACGCGGCCACCTCGCTTATTGTTGTTGTGGCAACTCTCATTGTTGCGGTTTGTGGGTAAATTTGGAAAGGTTAAGTACCCGGTTAGAGGCAGCAAATTAAATAATTACAAACGACTGTGAAAGAGCTCGAGTTACGACCCTCTTGTTGAACGAAGGACAGCTGATATGTAAAACTTTTAGGCAGAAGACACTAATTTTGACTGTTAGGAGCTAAACGTTTAAATTTATATTATGGCCTGCTTATCTAATTTATGATTTGTGCACTTAAAGCCTCTGTTCTCCAATCTACCAAATTACATAGAAATTAAAATTTAATTTTGGCTGTCAATATGAATTTATTGGTTTTTTTTCTGAGCTGCAACCTTTAATCTTTTGCGGCGTCTTTCGTTCGCTTTGACGGGTTATAACAAAAGTCGGCCAGAGCTGAAAAGTTCAAAAAACGCAAGACAAAAGACGCGACAGCAGAAACAGCAGCAACATCGCATTCATTTGGAGATTCAGCTTCGGCTGAGTTTGCATTTTAAAGCCGTTGCTGTTGACCTTGGACTGCATAAATCGAATTGGAGCAGGTCGTTGACGATGCTGCTTTTTATTGTTGTTTTCTTTTATCTTTTTTTTGTATTTTTTCTTTTGGGAGCGCGAAGCCCTGCATTATCTGGGCATCCTTGAGCTGGTTGGCTGGGGAAGTCCCAGCAGCATCCATTTTATTGGTGGGGCCATTGGCCTGCGGTTACCTGTGCTCCTTGAAGTTCTTCAACTGGCTTCTGCCGCTTTTATTCTCGGTTAACCACGGACTGCAGGAACTGTGGCAACAATTTGCTATTGATTTTCCGTGCTGTAATTTTGTTTTTTTCCTCTGTTTTGTTGACTAACTTTTGGCTTTGCGGCTGGCAAAGTCAACAGAAACGTAAAGAACACGTTTGCTTTTAGTTAACCTGTTTTGGCAATGCCCAAAGATTGCGATTGAGCAAAGATTGAGCGGACACAGATACACTGGCACAAACACACACAAACACGGCCGAAACGTGGTTGTTGTTTTGAATTTTGGCTTTACTTGCACAATTAGCCAACAGAAAAATTACCACACTGAGATGGATTTGAAAGCTGCACTGCACAATAATCGCCGCTTAACTTGGCCCATTCACAACGCTCGCAAAAACGATCTGCAAATTGCTCTGATTTATGTCGGGCCCGTAAAAAACCCCGCGCGCAACTCAAACCACAAAAAGTATCTTAAAACTCAGCTCAGGTTCTCGGCCTAGTTGCTTAAACGTTTCCGCGTTTTGCTTCTCGACTCGCCGACGACGTGAATTCAACTGATCAACTCAACAAACCGACTTCGTAGCGCTGACAGATCGCCCAATTCGAAAATAGCATCGGCCATATCGACTGCGACGCCGACAGAGACGTCTCTTTTAAGCCGCGTTTCTGAAGCCGTCTAAACGAGCCGTCTAAAAGATCAAAATAGTAAGTGGAGTGGTCTGACTTCTGCGGCGAAGACTGTTCCCACTGGCTAGGCACGCTGGGAACAGATCGGTGCGAGCTTAAAAGCTTTGATCGTACGAAAGAGGAACGGCTATGGTTCATGACCAAGCTAATATTAAAACCTTAAAATTATTTTGCATAAATTTATGGATTCAAAATGCAAGCAGAAGTAATTTAAATCATTAAATAAGAAATTCTTTAAATATATTCCTTCATAACTTGCATTAATTATTGACTAATGCAACGAGTTTGCTGAAAGGACTTCCCCTCCCCAAAAAATAGTTAGTAAATGTTTATCATACATATATTGGGTATTGCATTGTGCCCCAACAAACACACAAAGCCGGAGCGATAATGGCAGCCGTGCCGCAGGCAAAATAAAACCTCGTGCTTGGCTTATGTGCGTTCAGCACGCAAATCGGTTATTAGCTATAATGCATACGTATTTATAAATATACATACATGCATATATCGCTCATTTTCAATGGTGCAATTCTGCGGCTGTCTGATTATAAGCCCCGATCCCACAAGCGGCCCTTTTGTTCGGGTCTGGGCCCAAAGATAAGCGCCACTCGGGCCCATTTGTACTAAATAACTGGAACAACAAAAAAGCAACGGGCGAGCGAACGGCAAACAAACTGTCTATTAGTGATTGTTGTTTGATTTGCAAAGCGTTTGTCATTTGTTAAATAAATTGATGGCCATTGCGGCATGATGGCCTCTTGGCAAATAGCAAGTAAATACCAAAAGGGACACAAGTGGCTGAAATGTCCTGAAAAACCAATATTGGGTTTATGATTTAAGGCACTAGAATTTACAGCCCCCTCGCACTTTTCGACGAAACTTTAAGCTCGAAGGCTGCCAGAAGTCCTCAGAAGCAGCGGCAGTTAAGCATGACAAACGCCGGGGCATCTCGAGAGGATACCCCGCCCCGCCATTATCCTCCCGAAATCATCAGCTGTCAGTGCACTGAGTTGAGACTTCAGCCACCAAAAAACGAGTCTGCAGTGTCACCGAGGCGAAGGAAGCCTGCGAAAGAGCACGAGAAAATGAAATGACATTGACATTTTGAATAATGACGCAACAAAATTTGAATGGGAAATGCACAAGCACAAATAAGGGCTAGTATATTAAAGAGGAATTTAAAACATACTTAAAATATAATTTATTAAAAGATGTAAAAGCCCTAAGCTACGAAATAAATTCAACTAACTTTGTATAGAAGCTATATAAAAGCTAACCAATAAATTTAAATGTTATACTCTGCTGTTTATCAGCTACATTTAATTAGACAAGTCTAACAAGTATCTCGCAACTAGTACTATAAATTATTAAACTTAATAGAGAAAGATTAGTTTTAAGTGTAGAATCAGATTCTTAGTGCAGAGGCCACCAACAGGGACTTTCCAATTGGACTCGCCCAGCGGGAGATGTTCGCCTGTTCGGCCTGCTAGCAGAGATTAGCTGCAAATTTTGAAGGATGTTCCGCCCGTCGCAGGACAAGGATCCATCTGGAGTCTCGGCAGCTGCTCTTTCTCCTGGCCAATTGGCCAGTTGGCTGAAGTTGTCTTGGGTTCGTGCCCAACGAGCGGGCAAGGCCCCTAATGAACATTGTCTAGGTGTCAAGTGCATTTCGCTGGGGGAAAGAATGTCATTAGAGCCACCGTCCAAAGAACCCCTCTTAAATGGCCGAATGCCGTAACAAAGCTCCGGCGAAGACGATGCCAAGTGGCCATAATCACAGAGGTGCAATTTGCAGCAAGAATAAATTCGCGCTCAAAGTGCCAAGTGGGTAATATAGAGGAGAAACAAAAAAAAAAAAAAAAACAATACGAGCAGGAATTGCAATGAGCGGGGTTCAAGAAATAGTTGAAGAAACTAAAATTAAACTCGCTTCGCGACTTCGCTCTGCTGCACTTTTTAATATGATTTTTTCGCAGCGCCCCCAACATTTAGCTTTAAGTTGGCCGAGTGTTGAAAAAACAACTTGAGATTGTAATTAGTTTTTGTTGCTGCTGGGTTTAAGTGAAGGGAAACTTTCAAATTGAACCGAAGACGCCGGCGGAGGGTTGGAATATTTTGCGGTCCCAACTTTTACACGCTGGTCTTACCAAATTGCAAATATGTCTGCGAAAAATCTCATTAAGTATACGAAATGTGGTGCGCGCCATATCGCCGAGGGAGTGAGCATAAAAATGCAGAGGCAACAACCAAGGGCAGAAGGAAAATGAGAGAAGGAAAGTAAATAAAAATTATGAATGTCGTTTGCCCAGATGAGAGAGCAAAAGAAGAGGAAAAGCGAAAAGTGAAAAGGAAAAGCCATAGCAAAGCTGGGCGAAAAGTAAATGACTTAAAGTCTGGCAACAGGTAACTCTGCCTAAATTGGACTGGAAACGGACTGGGTCAAGTTTAAGAGGATTTGGTTTCAGTTGGCAGCTCGTTTCCGACCACAAAGTTCACTTGGGGTCATCTAACGGGCAGTTGGGGATCTTCTCTAGGTCATTTCACCAGCGATGAGTCTTATAATGTGCGTAATTTTCGTATGACGAGCATTTGAGGAATTGTTTATGGCTAAGTGCTCCGAAATGATAAATCTGTAAAGTACAGCTCCGACATTCAGAGATAGAAACTTAAATTAACCTTGTACAGGGATTTATAAAATACCTAAAGGCAACCAAAGCTTTAAGCCAATTCAATTAATTCCTCTGCAATTCCAGGCAGCAAATCTCACCTTGCCGCCACCTTCCAATTCAACGCCAAGGCAGCGACTTAAAATATTTGACTTTATAATTTTGAAATTTCAATGTTTAATTAAACAAACTGGCTCAATTAAAATGGCACAAGCCCCCACACACACAAATGGGAAAAGGAGAGCACAACAGCCACGAAAAAAGGCAACGGAATTATTTCATTTGCGAAAGTCGCTTTCATTAGACGATTTGCTGGCTGCAGACGGCTTCGCTCAAAGTCAAAAACGTTTTAACCTTTTAAGCGCCGCAGTAATGCGACCAAAGCTGCCGTTTCGGCTGGTTAAAAGGAGTGGCTAGAGGGTGGTGGGCGGTGGGCGGTTGGGTTGTTAGTTGTTGGTTGTGGGTGGTGGTCGCGCAGAAATAGGACGCAGGATGCCAAGGACATGATGCTGAATCTGATGGGCGCTGGCAACACATTGAGGTTACGCGAAGCGAGAGCAGACAGCCAGACAGCAGTCTCATTCTCAGATTCAGATTGAATCCAAGTCGAGTTGTGACAGCGTCTGAATGTGATATTGGGTTTAGCGCAGTGCAGCATTCTGCGTTGCCAAGATGGGAAACTTGACTATTTCAAAAGTGATATAAAAGCATATACACCCGCTTGTTCATAACGTGAAAAAAACTTAGCAAGAGCCATCTGTCGCTTTTGGTAAATATGTGATAAAACAATATACTCAGTTTAAAATGCATCATTTTCACAAGAAACTAAACTTCTTTTTCTTGCATGGAAGTGAAAATTCTTAAGAGGAGTAAATTACTTTCAAAACCCGATAATGACAGACAGAAATCTTGAGAAAATACCCACAAAAAGAACAGTGCTACTCTATATAAATAAAAATTAATGCCTCCACTCAGGCCTCTGTTTGCCCACAGCTAATTATACTTAAAATGCTGGCCTCGCCACCAGCGTCTCAATTGTTTGTCTGCTGCTGCCGCGCTCAACATGGCGTATACGTGATGCTATGATAATCATGCTTATTTACAATAAATCCTGGCCCGTAGCTCCGTTCTGCAGTCCCGGGGCCAAAGTGAAGTGTTAGGAACATCAACGCGCCCCCGTAGGCTGATGATTTATTTAATGCGTAATCTCTGCCAACGCCTGCCAGACATCCAAACATCCAGAGAGCAGAGAGAAATGTTATAAACATTATGATGACAGCACCTCAGACTATTATATTTGCTATTATTGTTATTATACCCCCGAGTTGAGTGCTTTGTTTGGCACCCTCGAAAATAATCAATTAATCGCGCCACTTGCCCGGGCGAAAGTTTTGAATACCTCAGCTTAAGTTCGTCTCAGATCTCTGACACTTTTTGAGTCACGTAATTAGCTTAGTCTGGACATCAATCAAAGGATTTTCCCAAGGACGAAGTGGGCGGGGAAAGATGGGGAGATGCTGGAGCCCGTCGACCGGATAAACATAAATCTGCAAAGTGTAAATGACAAAAGTTCCACAACTGGAGGTTACTCGAACTTTCTCGTCTCGTCCTTGGACGTCCTTGTTGTCCTGACTATTATTGCCGTTGTCATTATCATTAGAGTGCCACAACAGCCACCAACAATCACAGCCGGTGGGTTGGGCTGCAAGGTGTCTATAAGATACACGTCTATATATAGATTGAGGCCACTTTTGACAGCTACCTACAAGCCCGCCCGAGGACATAAATATTGATTGATTGTTGTCAGGCTGCAGAGTTGTTGTTCGTTTTCTTATGCGTGGGTAGTACTGTAGGAAAATATGTGTCAATAGATACAAGTTATAAAAAAGATTGTTGAAGGTCTAAAAATATCATAAATAGCTGAAAATGTCAGTTTGTTTACTTACATAAAGTTCAAAAAGTATAAGATTATAAATAAATTTAATGAATTTAAATACTTATTACGAGGAGGCTCCTTAAATGGATTTAAAGTCACAACATCATTAATTTATTTACTTAGTTGAAAGTGATATTATTTTTTTTCTGTGCACCTGTCATAGATGTCAACATTTGTGGCTTCCAGTGCGGCAATAACAAATGGATGAGAAAAGCTGCAAATTTATGTTTATTAGCTTGGACAATGTGCCAGACAGCCAGACAGCCCGAATACAGGATAACTCTCTTCTACCTGCTCTGCACTGCTTAATCCCTCCTCGACCGAGACTATTATTCATATATGGTTATGTCGAGTGATAAGCGTGTAAATTGCAT